AAAGTTAATAGCTTTTTGGGACATCTACCGCGATGTTCATCAAACACGACAACGTGAAGATTGTACTTTGCAATGATTTTGATTGAATCGAGGATTTTTTGAAAGCATACTCTGTAAAACGACACATGTTACTATGATAAAAAAAATAAAACAGCATGACGCAAACGGGATTATTCGCGAAGCGCGTAATTGATAAGTCTATTTGCAAAATGAATTTTGTTCGTAAATTCGCTTTGAACATTCTGACGTGGACAGATTGTCTATAACGACTTTTTTTAATATGGACTGTTGTTGTTAATTTTAATTTATGTTGATATTAATTGTGGACGCACTCTTAATGAAATCGATCTCAGTCATATAATTGTCAAGGGATGTTTGCAATGTTGAAGTGAATCACCTATAACATGGTTCATTAAGAGTGTATTTTTACTTATACCTTCATTATGTTATGTTTATATACTCACTGAGAATAGCTTGAAAAAGAACCGAAATAAATGTCAATCTGTACAAACATATATTTCATTGATAAAAAGATAGAATGTTACACAATGGAATAAATATATTTTAAATAAATTGTATACGCTAACAATATAACTACGGTATTTGCTCTCAGTTACTTTTCCTTATTATGAATATTTTATTTTAAATATTGAAGCTCGAGAATTATTATTTTATTTTATTAATGAATTCGTTCGGATTTTCCACATGAGCAGTAAACGTTACATGAAATAATTTTCATCGACTTTATAAGACCCGGGAAAGTATCGCAATACCAATTTTCGTTTGTACGTGCACTAAATTTCAATGTTACGAGGCAAGAAGTGGAGAATTCGTGTTGTAGCTTGCGTTCTCCATCGCATCGCCGCTATCTCATGTCTTTTATCAATGGAACAACGATATCACATGCAACGATATCGCTATTATCCTATAATGACGTTTGATATCACCGGTTCTTTTAACCTACTGTCCTAATTCAGCCTCTCAGCTATCTCGTTATTTTCCTGTTCGTGGTATCGTTTATTTTTTAGGATCGTTACTTTCCAATATATCGGGCATTGTTCTTCGCTTCCCTTTTAATGAGAAACGCTGAACGATAAATTGAATAATTCTTCGAATAATTCTTATAATATCGAGCTAGTAATTTTACAATTTGTATGCCTTCGCAAATGTGAATAGATATGAATATTTTATATTACAGTTGCGCCAATTTTTTAACACACAAGGATTTTTATTTGTAATTTCCGGAAATTAAATGGAAAATAATTGAAAAATTATGAAAACTAAAAAAGAGATTGATGTCAACTTTGCTAAAAAATATATAAGTTAATTCGGATTATTTTGTGTACAGTATTTATAAAGTCATGGCGTTGATGAGATTGAGTTTTAAAAAATATTAAAATTTTAATATTTGTATAAATTTGTACGTTTAAATTGTACTAATTATTTCTATTCATTTCTATTTCTATTTATTATTTTTTAAACTCTTAATTTTTACAAAATGTAGAGGAACATGTATTTACTGCAATTTGTCAAGTGAAAGGAACAAAATTAAAGGCTATTAGAAAATTGTTCGCAAAAAATGTATAAACTTTAATTAAATATGGATTTGAAATATGTAGAAACATCACACCCATAGAAGATAATTATTAAATTTTGTTCTCTTATAAAATTTTTTAAAATTTTTTATTCTTTATTTACAAAAAATTTATATAAAATTGCATATACATATGTATACTTTATTCTTATTTCTCATATTCATATTTTTCTGAAAATGTACCTCTTTTGTCAAAATAATCAGATAGATTTACGAATATACATAATGCACATAGCAGGTCTGTTCTTTTTTGACAGAACTTTTGCACCAGTTCATCTTTCTTCCTTTTCTCTCCAGGAGAAGGAAAAAAGATGAACTGGTGCAAAAGTTCAGCCAAAAAAAGAAACAGGCCTATAATAATTAGCATTACATAAGTTTATCTACTTATGATTATATACAAGTTATATTTTTTAGATATCTATATATACGATCATTGTATAATACAACCACAAAAAACAATCATCGGAAAACAATAATTTGGAAAAATATAATGTTTTCTTCTCTCGTAAAATTATGTACATACAATATATGACATATTTTGATATTTAATATATTTTTATTATATATGTATATACATGTATATTTGCAATATGCTGAAAACTGAAGACGATTACTTGTAAGGAATGTGTTTCTATAAATGTGGTTTCTTATCGGCTGTTATCATAACAAGCGTCATCGTGTTGCGTTGTCTATTATTTTACTTTTATTACGCAAATGCTTCAAGTCGAATTGCTTCGACTAACGTGCGGAAAATGAAGATTTTCCCTTCTCTGTTACTTCCCATTATTTTTTAAGTCACACAATTTTTAGGAGCAGGTAGTATCTATGTTTCACGAAATTCGTTTATCACGAAGTAGATTGCATTTTAATGGGTCTTTCGTTTCGATAGAAAACCTCCACATTTAAAATTAATGGCACACTCTCTCTTTCTCTCTCTCTTAGATATAGTATTATAACATAGCGAACATACTAAACCACTTAATGTTGTTGTGGGCCACGTAGGCATCCTATTCCTACATTACCGTTTATCGACGAAGTGGTATTAACCATTACTGTTTTATCCCTATAAATTTATAAAATATTCTCTTATCGAACATATTTTACTATTTATCATAAAGTTCATTCTTTTTCATTTACTGCAAAGTGCATTTCTGATAATAAATTTCAAAATTTCGAGAAAAGAAACTCAAAAACGGTATATATCGTGTACTACTATACGTCCGTCTCTTCTGACAGGTTCTGAAAACTATGATATTATATAAAATAAAGCGCACTGTCATGCGCGCGCGCGCCTATAAAACGCTCGATTGACGTCAGTCACAAAGATATTTTTAGCTTATAGCAACTGTTTAGAGAGAAAAAAAAGAAAAGAAAACAATACTTTTCTTCTCGAATTACGATTGTACGTGCTGTAACCCCCTCCCCGTGATTATTCGCACGTTTTCGTCGCCCCGAGCGATATTCCGCCACGCCCGCGCATTTCCTTTCTTTCCTTCTCATTACTACCTACCACTATCGATATTCCGGCTGCCTGAGTGTGATAAGAGGGGTTGGTGATGATATTTACGATAAGGCAGTTCTTCGGGGTTACGTGGGCGCTGTAGAGTGGTGGGCGTTGTGCACCAGGGTTGGTTTATTTTAAACTCATGTCATCACGCATTATTCGGTACACCATGAGTCAATATCGTCCTCCGCCTTGATCGCTCTTTACGCTTGCTTAGTTAAGATATCCGTGAGATGAGGTGAAGTATATCGAAGGAAAAAAGAGAGATGGGGAATATAAAATGGCAGGGATCGCGCAGGGGTTGGGTTGGGTGATTCATTCGGTATTATCAATACATTTATTTTTGATGTTATCAACTGTTTCTCGTTTTGTAAAGTTTTTAGAACACAATCTAAATTTCTGTTATCTATATAACAATTATTGTAATTGTAGGAACATTTATGCGTTTATAATTGCGGACAATTATTCTGAAATAGCTGTTAGTTTTCGATAATAGTTCATCGCAATTGTCTGCTCGGTAATATAGAGCCACGTCATGAAAAAGTTTATTGCACAAAAGTCAGAAATAATATAGAACGCTGTTTGCCATCCAGATTAAATTAGTAATAATATTTAAACATTGCGTATATTGCAATAAATAGAAATTATTCATACATGAACGGTTTGCAATTTTAGTTTTTACATCATGGAATGTATAATTGGCCGCGGTGTTAGTTACATCAATACGTACTAACGTCAATTACGTTTTCATTTGCGAACCGAATGAAATCGATGATAATAATGATAATAATGTTGCTTGTTCCGCATGATATACTGCGAATCTAATTAAAGATGTAGATGAAATTAGTTGACGAAATTCAGACAGCATGTCGATGCAGGTAAACTCGTCGTTGAAATCGCTATCGATTTGTACGAGCCGTCTCTTCGGCGGATCCGATATGTGTGTTTGTGCATGTGGGAAGCACTCTTACCGGAAGTGAGGAGCATTGGACATTAATCGGCGCGCACGTTTCATTAACAAGATACACGTGTCGGTCAAGGGCCTCGACGCGGGAGACGCCCCTGTCATTTCGGGTCATGATTCATTGACGTCCTCGTGTTCCCAGCGGAACTGAAACGCTAATCGCACGGCATTATGCATACGCGCCAATTTACCTTCGTTTGCATTAAACGAGAGCGGCGCGTCTTCTCGGGAGGTTCTCTCTGTCTCTTTCCTCGTATTACTATGCATGCATACTTGGCGTGAAAAGTTGCCACGTAGAAAAATCTACTTGGAGTCCTGGGAGATGCAAGACGTTATTAAAAATGATAATGTGAGAATCGGCGGATAATTTACATTTACTTGTTTTTTCATTCCATTCGCATTTCTCAGTAAAACACGAACGTTAAAAGAATTCTTGAGTTCTTGGGTTTTCGAACGTTACTTTGCATTTTTCTTAAAGTATACGGATTGTCCTAGAATGCATTTTCCTCGAATATATACGAGCTGTTCTATAGAACGCATTTTCTTTCAACCGTAAATCTTCTCGTGAATTCAGAATTTATTTTTTTCTATAGTATAATGTTTTACTGACAAAATATTGAATTGTGAGAATTTGTTTAACAATAATGATTAAAATAATTTATTGAATTGAACTTCAGGGAGAATCAATGAATAAAAAATAAATTATTTCTATATGTAATCAATTTAAAACCATCGTTGTAAGTCATGCGCAATTTTTGAGAATGCATAGAACTTCAAGGAATTTGATAAATTACTTAGTATTGAATGGAAACGTATCTCCTTTCCTCTATTAGAGAAAGGGAGGGAAAGAGAAAGCAATTAATGCATTTTTAGTAACAATAAAAGCAACACGAGAAAACATTAATCTCCCGTTTCATCCGAAATCTTTGTCTTTGCAGGGAGGAAGTGCAGGAGCACACGGTGAGATGGAATGCGAAATTCGAGTTTTTATGCAAAATGAGCGCCAACGCGTCCACGGGCGTACTCGATCCATGCATTTTAAGGATATCTGTGAGAAAGGTGAGAACAAACTTACTTTCTGTTTGAAGTGTGAACATCGCCGGGCTGGGAAACGAAACGAAAGGAAGACAGAAATTTTTCTCAACTTCTGTTTTCACAAACGTTTTACTCTTCATTCACATTCTCACGCCCGCGAAATACCACAGAGCAAGAATTGACTATAATATAAGACTATATATAAGAAACATGTCTGTTTGATTTATTATTTTATTTTATTTTTGTAAAATTAACAAAATGAAATAATTAATAATTATTAAATGGTCAACGATAGATAAAAGTTGCATGTTTAATTGTAAATATTTGTTAACTTTGTTTAAAAAATATTCGAGTAGTTTTATTATTTACAATTGGTTAATTAGTTCGAATAATTGCCAATATATGAATCTCCCTATTTTGGAAAGATCCGAAATATTCATTATATATCGGAGTTGTTTACTTTTTTACTGCAAAACTAATTTTTATTGCGTTCTTAAAAATATGTACCTATTGTAAACGTAATTAGATAAGTAGACAATTTTAAAAACATATCCTTATAAAGCTCTTTTATGCGACAGGAATTGAAAGGAGGCAGGTCCTTCCAAAAATTGGGCTTCACCGATCTAAACTTGGCCGAATTCGCAGGAGCTGGCTTCTGCCGAAGAAGATGCCTTTTGGAGGGTTACGATGCGCGACATCGTCAAGATAATTCTATGTTACGCGTAGCCATAAAAATGAATATGCTCTCCGGTGATATCCTATTTAAAGTGTAAGATATATTGTCCGTTTGTCTGAAATAGTTTATAAATTGTTGAATGTGTTCATGTAAAAATTTATAATCTAAATTCTTGGATTTGTTATGTTATAGTATATGTAATCTTTAGTACGAATAGTTTTTAATATAATGAGTTAATAGAATAAATTTAAATTCAATTAATTTAAATCTAAACTCACCAACTTTTAAATGGAGCCTTAATAAAAAAAATTCTGTAAAGCGTATTTTCTATTTCTGCTATTTTTTGTTCTATACCGCGCGAAAATGTGTATAGACTTGAAAAAAAAGCAGAAATATAAAATAAAGTAACCAGATCCTACATGGTCTATCTAAGCTTTATAATTTGTCCAAAATTAAAATTTTGGTCAGATTCAAAAGAGAAAATATTTTTGAACATTAAAAAAATTTAAGACACAAACAGTGAATAGGGCACGTGGGATATTAGGCTATATAGGATTCGGTTATCTTATGCTATAAAGAATTTCTTTTCTAATTATAAAAAAGGCTCCATTTAATTTAGATTATATTTAAGTTCATTTCTACTGTGCAACAACTGTGTCTGCATTTGACCGGAAGGACATAAATATCCTTTTGATTAACGAATTAATCAATTATTGACTTAGCCCTTCCCCATCGTCGAAACAAACGCAGTTGGCGGTGCCCGGGGTGCAAGGTGTACCTGGTGTTACCGGTGACGAAGTGACGGCATCCGAGAGATGTTCTAATCGAGAGGATTATGTATCTACCGGTTCCCTGGCAGGAAGTATAGCAAGTGCCAGCAGTGGTTTTGGCAGTCTTCCTAAGAAAAGGCCTGCACTTTTCACTTCCGGTATATAATTATAATTATTATTAATATAGTAATTTTCCCGTTTTCTATGTCGTCTATGAAACGTAAAGTATTTGTAATTCATGTATTGTAATTGTAAACAGTTTTCATATTTAATAATAATTTTAAAAAACGCACGTATGTAGCTACGTACAAAGCATCAAGGATAAGATAGGCTTAAAATTACAAAATATAATCATGGAATATATTCTAGAAGGGAGCATAGGAAAATTATTTTAATGAGTCATTTGTAATTAGAACTTCTCAGTGGAACAGAAACGTACGATCCGATGACTCTAAGCGAAATCGTACCTTCGGCGGTTCCTGTGGAGGCTCTAGTAGAGGCACACACGGAATCTGGACACTCACGCAACAGCAGCAATACGAGTCAACTTAGTAAAGGGTCCGGCTACGGTTCCTTAAATTCGCACAGTCAGCATAGCAGGCAGAGCAGTAGTGGTGACAGCGGTCACATTAGGTAAGACTTACCATGCGTTTCGACGACTCTGACGTGTTTACTTTGAACAACTTTTGAAATCTTCAGATGTTATCTGATGTTGTAATACAAAACAAAACAATACTCAGGAAGGTTTATATCTCGAGAAACATTTTCAAGTTGTGTATAATCAACGTGATTATATCAATGATGACGTCTAGAGTTTTCATTCCCTATTGACAAAGACGATTTAAATTTTTCATATTGCATTATTTTCTACATTTAATTATATTTAATTGAAATAGGAAACTATACAGATTTTTATTGATATGACATTCTGAAAAAAATTATCTATTTCATCGCACTTTTCCTTTTAATCTACTTGCGAATTGCCTAATTTTACTACTTCTGTAATAACAGCAACGAGCATGAATTGAAAATCGATAAAGTTTAAAAAATTGCACGAAAAATTTTTATAGCAAAAACTGTAAATGATCAATAATGCGTGAATGATAAATAAATGACCAAATATATTTCATTCATAATTTTACTACAACAAACTGACGATTTCTTTTTTATAATGCAAAATATTTGGCTTTATTAATAAGATATTTCAGTTACAGTTATCATACTGTATTTTGCTTTAAATACTATTCGCCTTTATCTTGACTCTAGAAAGATATTCTATTTTTGACCTTTAATGATATCAACCTTCTATACATTAATCGATAAAATTTGCTTGTTGAGAAAACTCATGCATTGTGAAAAATGTTTAATTGAATTAATTCGAATTCTGATTAAAAATGGACAAATAAAAATTTTCTGATTTTAAATCTACTAGAATTCTAATTAAGATATATAATCGGAATTTAGATTAATATAATCAGAATTTTCTGTTTATTTTTAACCAGATATTTTTCATAATGTTCCAAATAGCCAACTATTTTTAAATTAATGCGATGATAAATCAAAATTATATGTGGTGATATCAACGGACAAATGTTTAACAAAAAAGCGAATCAATAACGCGAGAAAATCTTCTGTTTTTGCTCCAGCCTCAAGCAATCTCTTCATTCTCAATTTCTCGACCATAATGAGACTCTGGACTCTCTATCTTTTTTTTACTTTACGTATGTCTTTCTTTCTTTTTTTATCTTTATATGAGTTTATGATTTTTGCATGCTTGTACATTTGTGTTGTGATCTTTATAGGTCACCTTCCTGGCCGGTATGGGCACCACGAATCCTTAATTCCCCCCAAAACTTATCCACACAACCGATTGCCTATCGACCTGATACCTGTATCGAACCCCTGCCATTGCATCCATCTTCTCTGTCGCATATAGCCTCCAGAGCTCGGTTCTGGTCGGCATCGAGCCCTCTCTCCTCTCGTAGTGGTCCAATTGATGTGGAAGATCCGATGAAAGTAGACATTATTGCGAAGAACGTTTATTCGGTCGGAAAGCAACCGCTTTACGAAATCGGGAACGGTTTCTTAAATGACAACGATTCACACGAATGTCGCAATGACGCGAACGCAAATACCCGGATGGCACCCGGGATCTTTAGGGTACCAGACGTACCGCGACATTCGCGCAAGAATTACGAGAGGAACAGCTTTGAGGCGCGTAACGAACGTAACGTGATAATGAGCTCGATCGCCAAGGAGAGTAATGGGCAACAGAGTAACGTCTTCCCAATCGTAAAGTCGAGAATTAATACTGCGGGTTGGCGCAGCATGTCGAAGACCTGCGATTGCATTGAAAAGGGCAAAACAAGCCCGGTGTTGCGACTGGTCGATCAAGCCAGAGCTGTGTCCTCTCCTGATCCTCTCCATAGGCCTGACAATCAAAGAGCCCCACTACGTCCCACGGCGACAGCTCAAACCCTCAGGTAGGTTTTATTCATCAGCGAGTTTTTAGTTGCGCGATTCTTTTACGGGAGACGATCTCGGAAGAGTCTCATTTCCTCTATCCTCCGATTTCCTTGGCATTTTTGTCTTGTGTGTTTCCAGTTTTCAAATCATCAAAACAATTCTACATATCGCAATATTTGGCTTTATCTTGAATGATTAATATCCTTCTACCACAAAAACGCATATTAGGAAGAGATATCCTGAAAGGAGATATTTTCATGTATATTTATAACAATGCGTTTGTGTTTTATTGTTATTATTTGTGATTATTAGCCAATGGTGTATGTTGCATTTTACTCTTGCATTAAATGGTCTTTATTCGAAGGTGAGGTCATCTCACTTACCAATCATTAACGACGACTGTATGTCCGGCATTCCAGAGTAATTGATAATTCCGTCCTAACGAACCAACAGATGTTCGAAGAAGCAATTCTCCCAGCGTTTCTTTTCCTTGTATAACACATCATGTTTTCTGTATTCAGAGAAAGTTAAAAATATATTTTAATCAAGTTATATTCACCAATCTTGCTTTATATTAATTATTTAATTTATTTTTACATATTTATGTTTTCGATATCTTTTATTTTGCAATTTTTATTTAATTTTGTTTGGAGAGAGAGTAGAGCGATGCTTGAGACAAAATAAATAATAACCCAATGAAAAAGTCTGCGTTTAAACCTCATTGATGCGTAATCGATTCGCTTAAATTTAATTTTATAAGAAATTAACGGTATATTATAAATGATCGATCATACATATAACATAAGAATGTAACAGATATATATTAAATTGCATAGGCATGTATTTTTCATTTTATAAAAAATTGATGAATTTTTGAACAAATTTAATATTACGCTGCTGCTTAATTATCTCCCTATATCTTACTTTTATCATATGAGTGCAATGACTTGTGTTTCATTAACCATGCTCGACCATTATCATTTCTGTGTGCCTTTGATGTGAGCTAATTAAATATATGCTACGTATTAAATGGCAGTTCCAAGTAAGAAAACTTATCTAATGTAGCAGTAAAAGGAATTGTATGTTTAATATATGTATATAATATTAAAAAGAATATGTGTTTCGTTAAAAATTCACCGTTATTCTCATAGATTCAATACAATCTATTCTCATATGTGTTTCTATAATTTTTTTTTACAAAATCAAGATTATGATTAACGTTTATTATCACATTTCAAGATTATATTAAAGCTTAATTAAACAATTCCTCAACTATCATAATAAAATTAAATCCAACCATAATGTATATAAATATTTTGCAAAATATTAAAAGAAATGATAGAAGAAAATTTTGGGAGTTATTAATTAAAAAAGTAATAACAGAAATGTTTGAAATTTTGATTTCTTCAATCCCCATCTTGTATAGTCGTTTTCTTAATGTTCTATAAATTAATAAAATAAATAACAAAAAATTGAGAATGTATCTCAACAAATAAACACAAGTACAAAGTAATGCATTATTAGGATCAGAAGTATATATCGCTATTATTAATCTCAATCTAATTACTCTAGTTAAAAGCTGATTATCTCTATACAAATAAAGAAATGCGAATCGGGGTGTATAGTGTATGTATGCCGTAGCTATGCTTCCAGTTTGGATGGCTTTGTGAATCCTTGCAGGGGTATTGGCGGAGGTCACCGGAAGTTGCTGGACGGGGCGGGGGGCAAGCTGGCTACGGTCGCCACCAGTCCAGCGGACTCTGAAGAGTCCTCGTTAGGGGTACCGGAAGTCGCGCCACCGATCTCGCAGCATCGAAACAGCATTACCCCACCGTCAGTCCATGCTTTCGTCTTACGTATACCTTTCCTTTATGCATACATCTTTGTTTTCCACTATTGCAAAAACAGCAGCTTTTAGCTTCTATGTGAAGAATACTTAACACTGTATCAGCATACTTCAATCCTATGCAGGCAATGATTAGCTTGATGCATAACAATTATATTTTGCAAAATAGCAAAATATAATTTTTGCTATTTTTTCTGCAAAGAGCTTTTAATTATAATAAATTCATGTAATTTATTATTAACTTTCTCACGATTAACATTTAAGCTGTAATAATAGACTGTATAATAAACTAAAACTAAGTTATAATATTACCAAATCAATATTTGTTTAATTTGGTGATAAAGTAATAAACGAATGTTAATTTAATGATGTGTGTGTGTGTGTGTGTGTGTGTGTG